CACTGGAGGGGAGACTAGCTCGTGGGTGGATAAGGGGCCCTGTCCGCATTAGAGGCCTTTTCCTTCCGGTGGGTTTAGATCCCCACCCTGCTTTCTTGGGACTTTGCTCCGTCTTGGAGCCACCCTCCAATCCCTGCCCCTGATTCTTTGACCTCTTCTTTTCTTTTGGCCCATTGGCATTATCATTCAAAAGTTTCTAGTGCGTTCCAGCTTTGAAAAAAGAAAAAATAGATGTCTCTTTAGCTGCACACACACACCCTTCCCCATGCACTGCCCCGTGCTCCTCCAAGCTGCTCCATCATTCTGGTTTCCTCCCCGTTCTCTGGGCTCCTCCATCATTGTCCACGTCCTCAGCTTCTGACCAGCCGCGTTTCCTTCTCTGCAGTTGGGTGGCTCCCCAGGCTTCACCGCCTCCCCTGCCACTCTCTCCTCTGACTCCAGATGTGTGTCCAGGTGCCACCCCGAGGCATCATCTCGGGCGGAGGGGGCACGTCCTCACCTCATCCTGATTTTCTCGCAGAAATGTGTTCCTCCTCTCATGCTGCTCATTCTCCACGCGTGGACCCTCCATCCTATGGGTCCCAAGCCTGAGATCAGGAAGTCATTCCTGGACCTAGAAGTCACCCGTGCCCCCATCAGTTAAGGTCAAACTGCGTGCAGTGAATGGTACCCATCTCTCGTAGACAGGTCAGTGAGCATTGCCACATGTGGACAGCTGTGTTGCCAGCACCCAGATTGTCACACTAGCTGGCAGTCTCCCTAGGCTCGCCGGAGGTGTTCCCCTGCCCCCCTGTCACTTACCAACCACCCTGACCAGGGCCGTCAGTTACCCCTTTCTCCCCCAGCAGGCTGACTTGGGCCCGCTCCCTGCTCCCCTCTGCTGCCCCCTCTCTGCTCCCCGCCCCTCACTACCCTTCTACCCTCACTTCCCTGCTCCTTCTCTTGCCTCCGGCAATCCTTCCTCCGCACAGCATGGTTCTTTGAAAGCCTGAACTTGATCATGACATTCTGCTTAAAAGCTGTCTTGTAATTTTCCCATTCTGCCTACGAAAAATTCTCAAAACCTTTTAATACAACCTCCGAGGCCCCGTATCAGTGCTCTTTCCTTTTTTCATTTTTACTGTTATCTCTATAAAGTTTTTTTTAAACAGTTCTTCTGGGTGAACATGTTTTCTCTGAAGCCCATGTTTGTGGTCGCACGTTGGCGCCAAGGGTTAGGACTGTAATTGCCAAGGGCTAATGAGAAAAACGCAGGACTGAGTATGAAAGTGATGTGTTCACTGTAAGTGAAGGCGAAATAGCGTCGTAATTGCAGTACGAGTTACTGTTCTATCGTGGCTGGAATAAAGGAATGAGGTGGAGTAAATGAGTCATCACACGGCCCATGGAAGGAAGGGAGGCCACCAGGCTCAAAAGAGAAGCAACAGGCATGTGCAGTGCAGAGGACGCCTCAAACAGCATTGCCAGGGGGCTTCAGTTAGGCTTGTTAATTTGGACTTCACTGGTGGTGTATTTTGTTTGTATTTAATTCTGAAATTCATTTTGGCTTCACAGATCGGTGCAGGATAAGCAAAGAAGTATATACCTAGTTATTGTATCACTGTAACGCTATAACATATACGCTGTGTGTTACGTAGCACGCATTGTCAAGTTCACCAGGCAGTTAATTCTGTCACTCTCTACCTGCGTAGCGTCCGGCCCCCAGGTTGAGGGCTCAGTCCTGCCTGTAGGACTGCCACCCCCTCCACTTCAGATGTTGTCACCTGTGCGTCTGACCAACCAGCTCTAGTTGGAGGTTGCAACAGCCCTGTCCTTGGGTTTGATTAGTTTGCTATATTAGTTTGCAGCTCACAGAACTCGAAATACATTACTTACTGGATCACTGGTCTATTAGAAAAAGATGTAACTCAGAAACAGCCAGATGGAAGAGCTGCGCAGGCCAGGGTGTGGGGAAGGGTCCAGAAGCTTCCATGCCCCTCCCAGGGGCTGTACTCCAGCACCTCCACGTGTTCACCACCCTGGAAGCTCTCTGAACCCCATCCTTTTAGGGTTTTGTGGAGGCTTCATTACATGGTCACTTTGCGGTTGATGAAATCATTGGCCATTGGTGAGTAAACTCAGCCCAGCTCCTCTCCCATCCCCTCTTGAAAAGAACCAGTTCCATAGTGGGACCCCTCAGTGGGACCCCAGCCCCTTCCCTTCCCTACTCGCTGTGCAGGCCACACTCTTCCTTCCTCCAAGGCCCCAGGCAGGTTCCTCTTGTGGGATCTGCTCCCTTCCCCCACCTCCACCCCTCCCACCCTCCCCACCGTCCCCACCCTTCAGTTTTTACCCCATGAACTCCTGCACATGTCTTTCCATTTCAGTCTCAATGTCACATCCCCAGAAAGGTTTACTGAACCTTGGCCTCTGTCTAAATTGTGAATCCTCCCATCTCCTGAGGTTTATGCTTGGCACCATTACCCATAGTCTGGGACTCTGGTGTCTCCTGCTGCTGCTGGGTCGTGGGCAGATTCTGTCCGTGGCTGTTTTCTCAGCTCTTAGGGCAGCCTGACGCACAGTAGGCACTTGAATACTTGAGGGGGAAGGGACGCCTGCAGGTGTGCCATCCCGGGACACCCACATGGCAGTCCTGGAAGGTAGGGAGCCCAGAGGACCTGAGGGGATTTCAGCCTCCGAACATGGACAGCTCTCTCTTTTGCTTAGTTGCTCTTGTTCAACTGGCCACATTCGGTCCCTGTCGCTGATTGCCGTCCTTACTTCAGGGGAGGTCGCAACGCCTCCATCGGTGGAGAGTCCCCTGGACCTCGGGGCACCAGTGCTGTCATTTCTGAGTCATTTCCTCTCCTTTATTACACGGGCTTAATCATTCACTGTGTTCTCTGCAAAACTCCCTTTTCACAGCCTCCCAGATCCTGGTGCTCAGTGGGGACTGCGTCTTTAGCACCTGTGGGAACCACATCTGTTTCTTCCCCACCTTGAGCGATGAGGGACCTGCTGCCCTCCGGTTGGCTGTGCTGCTCCTTACGCTGTTGGTCGCCGTTCTCCTAAGTCCTCTGCCTCCTTACTACTTCTTTTCACCCGGTGGTGCTGAACAGGGTGCCTTACCCAAAACTGACTGGGTTTCTCCTTCCGAATCTGTCATCTCCAAACCTCCCCTTCCATCCCCAGCAGGACTGTGCTTGTGCAGGACCAGACCGCCACTCGCCTAGATTACAGCAGCAGCTGGTCTCCCTGAGGGACCCCCCCCCCACCCCAGTCCTTTGGGAGCGTGACCTCAGAGCTGGGTCCCTCACAGGTGACCTGGATGGGCTCGGTCTTCACCTTCTGTCTCCCATGGTTGCCTCGGAACCATCAGATTCAGTCCTTTTTCCCTTTCTCCGCTGCCTCTGATCTCAGTCTAGCTGACCTCACCAGAATCCCAGCCCGTGGAGACCTTCCCGAGATCACTGGCCTCTGTGCCTTCGTTCACGTGGTCATCTTACCCCAAATCCTTTCACTTTCCCCTTTACCTGGCTGGGTTTGCTGGTCCTTTATGACAACTCAGACCTTACTAACTTCTCTCACCACCCCACCCCACGGACCCTGCCCCCAGGTTGCTCTGCTCACTTTTCCTTAATCATCCCTGCAGCGGGGTCTTTGCAGGACCGTGGATGCAGACAGACCTGGTGTTCAGCTCTGACTCAGACACTTAGCTGCTGCCTCCCTCGTGGGATTCATACGGGAATAAAATGCCCAAGTGTGAGTCAGGTACCAGCATATCCATTCCCTCGTCCTCTCAACATTTATGAATAGTTGCATTTTTAATACATATTTACCAGAAAGATAACTCACTCATTTAGCAAATACTTAGTGCCTGCCGTCAGCACTGGGAAGCATTAGTGAACAAAACCAGTCCCAGCCCCTGCAGAGCTGACCTCCCACGGAGGGCACCGTCTGTCTTATTGCCTGAGCTTAGAAAGGTGGTGCCTCTGTTTCCCTTGGATGCTGAAAGAGGCCTACGGCCGACCAGAGGAGGCGCTCTTCCTTCCCTGTGACTCAGAGCTTTGATCTCTTTCTTGCTGTTCAAGAGTTGATCTGTGGACCAATTGTAGTGACGCTGGGCAGGCTGGCTTTTTTTCTTCTTTTTTTACTTAGGAGCACAAACTTCTGCATTTTGTCTTTCAGTGGTGAAAGCGGGGCTGGGAAAACCGAAAGCACTAAATTGATCCTTAAGTTTTTATCGGCCATCAGTCAGCAGTCTCTGGACTTGTCCTCGAAGGAGAAGACGTCCTGCGTGGAACAGGCTATTCTTGAAAGCAGGTATTTCTCCGTCGGCTTGCTTGTTTCTGACTAATAGGATTCACTTTCTTCACCGAGCTTCTTATTTAAGGAGGAGTTAAAACTCAGGGCTCCCTCTCCTCTTTTTCTTAACCTCGCTTTCACGATGCCTCAGGGAAAAGTCGCCACGTGCACAGAGCAGTTTGTCCTTGCACGGGCCAGGTTTGAGTGGTGACGGAGTGGCTGAGGAGCATTCTGTGGTCACCTCCTCCGGGCCAGCCCTTAACTAGCTGTATGGAGGCCTCGTTACCAGCCCGAGTTTCAGCCTCCAGCCCCCTGGCGTGAGGGCTTAGCAGGGGATGAGCAAGCCCTGTTTTGCCGTCAGCTCTTTGGAGGCACCACGTGAACGGGATGGCATTTTTGTAGCCTCTCACATGACAGAAGTTCAGTGATAAATCCACAACAGTGAGCCTCGGAGCTCTGAGAGAGGCCGCGGTGAGGTACCCTCTGAAATTCTAATCAAAATCTGTGACTTCCCCGGTGTATCATGGGTGCCTTAGAAGATTTCTAAAGCCAAGAGGGACTTTACAGGCCCTATTATTTAGAAATTAGTCCAGGAGTCAGCAGACTCCCACCTAAGGTCTGTATCCCAGGCTACTCTGGTTGTTTTTGTCTTTGTTTTTGTTTTGCCTTCAAAGTTTGTTTTTTTAAATCACAGTAGAAGACACATGATGTGAAATGTGTGACTTCAAACGTTTTTCAGTGTCTAGCTTCGTGGCATTAAGTGCTTTCACATTGTCATGCAGCCGTCACCACTGTGCATCTCTAGAACTTTCTCATCCTCCTCCTGCAGCCTGTTTCTTCTAAATAAAACTTGGTAGGAACACAGACCCGCTCATTTATCTGAGTAGTGTTTACCGCTGCTTTCGAGCTATGGTGGCAGAGATCCCCTTGGCCCGCAAAGCCAAAAATACTTATTATCTGGTCCTTTACAGAAAAAGATGTCTGACCACGTGTTACAGTTGGAGAAGACCCAGGGAGGTTGTGTGGGTTCCCACAACAAATGGGGCAAATTTCCAGGACTGGGACTTTTCTAGTTCCTGGAATTCGATTGAAGGCTTTTTTCTGGGCAGCCCCTGGTTCGTGGATTTAAGCTGCTTTGTGCGGGGCCCACCCACGGGGGTCTCCCTGACTCAGTGTTAGCATCCAGAGCCCACCCAGCATGCCGCGAGATCTCCTTTGAAATGGACACGAGTTATAAACCCATTTCAGCAAGTGCTGGGGAAATCGAGCCCTTCTGCACACAAACATAATCGCCGTCGGTCCTTTTTGATTTCCAGTTTCTCTTGCTGTTGTGTATTTTGCCAGGGGTGAGGAATGTCACTGCCGAGTTTAGAGCCTCCCCAGTTAACACCCACGCTGTCCTCATTTCTTTCCCAGCCCCATCATGGAAGCCTTCGGCAACGCCAAGACCGTGTACAACAACAACTCCAGTCGCTTCGGGAAGTTCGTGCAGCTGAACATCTGCCAGAAGGGAAACATTCAGGGCGGGAGGATTGTGGATTGTATCCTGTTTCATTTAGTTTTTGTCTAGAGTGTTTGACTCTGTAACTAGAAACTGGTCTTGCTTATCCTGAGGACAATGCAAAACACTTCTTTCTGGTTCTACCTCGTTACTGCTCCAGTATGACTGTGCTGGACCTGTTACTCATTCTGGGAGATAAGAAACCATCTGTCTTTTGGGAATCTCTGACATCATGTCCCGAATTTGAAAAACTGGGCTCCTCATCCAACATCAGATATTTGTTGTTTGAAATCAATTCTGTCAAATAGAGTTTGATATCTCCAAGTCACTATGTGTCATTTTTGGAATTGGATTTAGATGAAATAGTCTGTGTTTTGTTTATCTTTTGGCACTGAAGTCTCAGTGTCCAAGAAGCAGGGAACTGTAATTATTTGGGTAACAAAGAATGCAAAACTGAAGACCAATGGAGTGTCCCGCATCCTTGTTTTACTCCTTGACTTGCCATTGCTTTTCACATGAAGATTTATTAGAAAAAGTAAGTAAATGTGATGGAATTCACATTGTCTTTCACAGTAACAGTTTTTAGCAATTACTGGTTTGTGTCCATTCAACAGAGGACACTTCTCTGAACAGAAATCTGATTTGTCTTCATAGAACCGAGTAGTAAGGCAAAATCCGGGGGAGAGGAATTATCACATATTCTACGCGCTGCTGGCAGGGCTAGAACACGCAGAGAGAGGTGAGTGGATGGGACAGCAGCAGAGACGTACTTGCTAGCGAAGCAACTCATTTTCCCTTTAAAGACCATCTATGGACGAGAAGACCTCTGTTTGGACTTTGTTGATGCTCCACCAATTGACAGGAAATGTATCAGAAGAACCAAAAGATGTCAAGTTCATTTTAGAGCCAGATAAGGTAGAGAGAAAATCGTCAGTAGAGAAATCCTGAATTTTTTTGTTTCTTTCAAAATCTTAGTTCTTTTCTGTTTAAGGGATACTTGTGAAAATTGTGTAATGTATTACTTTTAAACCACACCCAGATAAAGCTAATTTCTAAACATCTGAGTTTTTAATGAAGACAATCAAAACAGGACCCTCAGCAATTCCTTTTTTCAGTAAATGTTTCCTTCCATCCCATCTAATTAATTAGATTCTATTTTCTCCCTAGACGTTGTTTAACACAGAACTTTATCTGAACGGTGGGCTGTTAGGAGCCCAGAATTATTTTTGTACTTTTCACTTTGCAACTTTCAAAAATAAACTCTTTTGAATTCTGTCTTGGCCAGTCAAGTACTGATGTTACGTTTTCTTTTTCCTTTTGTAGAAGAATTTTATTTATCTGTGCCAGAAAACTACCACTACTTGAATCAATCTGGATGTGTTGGAGACAAGACAATCAATGACCAGGAATCCTTCAGGGAAGTCATTGTAAGTTACTTTCCTGTCTTCCTTTATTAAGAGAGACCACCCCAAGGGATGGAATTGTTAGGTGTCCTGTTTGTGGTCATGGTTTCATAGGTGTATACACCTGTCAAAATTCATCTGATTGTATGTCTGAAATATGTATAGTTTACTGTACAGAAATTATACCACAAAAAAATTGTTAAAAGAAATGATACCACAATAAAGTTGTTTTAGGGGAAAAAAGAATGAAACTGCCCCCCCAAAAGTGACAGCTTTCATTTTCTGTTTCAAAAAAAATTAATAAAAAAGGAAATGAGCACATTTGTACCTCTGTGCAAGAGCAGATACTTTCTTCTTGTTTGAAGTCATGATAAAGACAGTTCCAGACTGGAAGGGAAACCTCTCTCTAGAAGATGGGTGGACATCTGACATTCAGGAGGGACGGTTGGTTGGCGTTCAGAAAAACAAAACAAAAATCACGACCTTGGTACAGGAGCAAGCAGATTCTTTGTTTTGAGGCTTACAGTTAAAATTCTTTTTGAATAACTGGTTTTACGGTTAAAAACAAATCTGTCAAAGTTAGACGAGGTGACTGCTAGGATCTCATCCTGTTCTCATAGGAACCAGTTCCGGTTGCACAGTTGTCATCCTAAGACTGTGAGGTATGGACCCGAGTGGTCTCCTGCAGTTCTTGAACATCACGGGAACTTTGTTATGAGGTGACTGCATTTAGGAAGCCTGCTCAGTGAGCGTTATTAACAGCCCCACCTGGTAGATGTCGTCAGCGTGGTCTCAGTTATTACCAGAGTCGTTACTTCCACAGTTGGAACCAGCGGGTCTAGAGTTGACTCATCGTAAATGTAGCTAACGCTGACTGAGTGCTTACCATGCGGACTTGCCATCTCTCTGCTTCTAACAACCCTGTGAGGTTAGAAGCTAGGGTTGTCTGTGTTCTGTGACTCAGAGAGGTTGGTAACCAGCATAGCCACACACAGCACCTGGAGATCTAAACACTGTCTAACTCCAAATCCCAGACTCTAATCAGAAGGCAGGCAGTGTCTGCTTTCAGTGCAACCCAGATTTGTCTTCCCTGGTTGGTGTTGACAACTCTGTCCCATATCCCTATCGACTCTTCTAAGATTGTTCATAAGGATGCCTTGTGGAATGGAATCGAAGTATATATATATAATTTTTATTGCAGTATAGTCAATTTACAATGTTGTGTCAGTTTCTGGTGTATAGCACAATGCTTCAGCCATACATAAACATACACATACTCATTTTCATATTCTTTTTCACCATAAGTTACTACAAGATATTGAATATAGCTCCCTGTGCTATACAGTATAAACTTGTTGTTTATCTATGTTATGTATAGTAGCTGTATCTGCAGTTCTTAAACTCCCAGTGTATCCCTTCCCACCCTCTTCCCCGCCTGGTAACCATAAGTTTGTTTTCTATGTCTGTGTGTCTGTTTCTGTTTTGTAAATACATTCGTTTGTCTTTTTTTCTTTTTTTAGATTCTACATATAGGTGATATTGTATGGTATTTTTCTTTCTCTTTCTGCAAAGTATATTTTTAAATGGATATATGTCACACATCATTTCCTCACATCTCATGTATATACCCTTAAATTGAGAATGAAATTAAAACGAGATTAGCTGTAATACCATGATCATCTTCCCCTCGGCCTTCCTTTTAAAGGTGTCGCATCCTGGCATTCATAATGTAGAGGCGTTTCTCCGCCACCTCTCCTTCCTTCAACCTGTTAACAGAAAGCCTGCTGCGGACAGCTGCTTTGGCTGTGCGCCTGTTCTAGGTGGCATGGGATTTAGCCCTGCAAACTGGATTTTATGAAATGTTGAAATATTTTCAATTTTCTCTCTCGATTTTATTTTGGTGTCTTTGACTTCTCTCACTACACAAGCTTTCTCCATGCACGATGCTTTGTGATAGGAGGTGGCTATTTCTGGTGACAGACTTCTAATTATCCAAGTCATAGGGTCACTGCAGACCCAGAATGCTTAGCTCACTGGCCACCAGGACGCCCTGGCCAGCAAGGGTTTCCTCGTCCTGGGAGAGGCTGGGGAGGGGACTCCGTGGCTTCCCCTGCTTCCCTCTTGGTACTTAGTTTTTCAATTCAGAATTGTTTGCTTTTTCTGTTAGCTATAGGGAAATGCTGGGAGCTTGGCCTGAGTTTCAGTGATTGCTAGCTTTTATTTTTAAATTGAAATGAAAGATTTCTGGCATTTGAAATGTGGTCCCTTTTGTACCTTAAATTTGCCCCTCGTCTCGGTTTGTTTCTAGTGTGACAAGCTTGACTTCCTTCCATCCTCCCTGGTGGGAAGTGTATCACCTGTATCACCTGTTTGTCCTCTTCCCCCACCCCCTACGCACACGCTTGCACTGGTTTTATGTGCTGAATAAAGACTTGATTGAAAATGTTCTGTGTGACTCTGTGCCAGTTTTGTAACTAAAGTGCTATCACCAAGTGCTGCTTAGCCCCTCTGAACTATGCTGAGAATTTCCCAGAGTCTTTTAAGTCTTGAGCCGTATTGTTGAAAAAAATAAGATAATTATAAAGAGGCTTAAAGTGGCTACTCTTGCCAAAGCGGTGGAGATTGCTACTAAAAAGACTGTAAATAGGACAGAAGACAGTGAATGGAGGCTCCTGGTAGCAGTTTTAGTGCCCACACTGGTGATAAATTGGTTGCAGCCGTTAAATTACCCCATGGTGTGATTCATAATGTACTTACCACCCCAGTCCTAACTAATTAACTAGTTCACTTAGGGGTAAACTTGAGAGTGAAGAAATCATGAATTTGCATAAAGAAGTCATGCTATTTGTATATAGTAAGCACATTTTATTCATTGGCTTTCACATCTCCACATGTAGTCATTGTGTTTTCAGAATTTACCCAAGAATTTTTTCACGGAGCATCTTTTGATCTTTTTCACTTGACAGTTTGAAATTTTCTGCTCCTGTGAACTTACTTGTTGAAGATCTCATTTCTTTACTGTAAAGTCTAGGTCGGTGACTGAAACAGTGAAGATGTTCGTTTCTGTGGTCATTCTCAGATGAGCTTACAAAATTTTTATAAATTAGTGTTGAACCAGTCTTGGAATACGTAAGGAAAACTTTAATTATAGAAAGGGAAAAGACTAAATTTTGTACAGCACAGGTGCTTTGTAATTATTTTGCTGTTGTCTGGTTTGGTCCTTCACCCTGTTTTAAAAGTCTTGAGCGTAATAAATATTCTGTACTTCTTAGCCATATTTCTTTGCTTCTAGAATAAAAAAATTTGAGTACTTTTTTTCCCATAAGCTTTTTAAAATTGATAAGCACTTGACTAATAGTTCTTATTCTTTGCAGCATTTCCGTCTGTACCCATGAAATGATAGCCTTCTGTCCCTTAATGAAATAATTCATGGTCTTTTTATTTCTTGTAGCCAACTTGATTGAGTTATAATGTCCATATAATAAGATGCTGTCCTATAAAGTATATAAAGTGAATTTTGAATTTACACACCCATGTACCCACAACCATAGTCAAACTAAAGGACGGTTACACACCCTGAAAGTTTCTTGTCCCCCTTCCTAGACAAGCCCAGCCCCCTACCCCTACCCTTGGGAAACCACTGATCTGCCTTCAGCCCCTACAGTGTAGATTTGTCTTTTCTAGAATTTCCTGTAAATGAAATCATACAAAATCTATTCTCCTGCGTCTAGCTTCCTTTCATACAAACCGCACATAACACACATTTATTTTTATGGAGAGTAGAATTCCATTGAATAGACAACAATTTATTTATCCATTCTCCCAGTAATAGTCTCATCTGTTGTAGCAGAAATATGTCAACAACATTAAAAGACGTGACAGAATGTAGTGTTCATTGGCCTCTCGGCACTAACATTGCAGCTCTATTCAGTTCTGTAAATTTTCTTCCCGGCCTGATTTTCCTGAAAAATGAGTTACAAAAATATAATTTTTTACTTAAAGCTGTCAGAAATGCAGTCGTTTCTATATGATGTTCGTAATTTCCTTTAAAAACTACACACTATTCTAACAAGTTGATTTACTATATTTGACTTGTCTATAGGATAGCAAGAATTTTTTCTCTGAAAGTGTTAAGATAACACTGGAGTGAATATTTTACAAAACTTTGTGGCCCTTTGAGCTCTTCCTTGAAACAAGTTTCCAGCATAGAAGTTAAGGGAGATTGTGTAGAAGATTGGTTTTGTGTGTGTGTGTGTCTGTGTCCTTAGAAAGTCACAGAGGTAGGTGGGTAATAAGTTCCCAGACTTTGGGTTCGTCGGGCCTGACTTTGAATCTTGGTTGTGTTAACGCTGAGAAAGTTACTTAGCCTCTCTGAAGGCTGTCAGGTTATGTACCTGGGTGGCCTGGCACACTGCTGCCCCACAGTCTTGTTTTCCAGAAAGATTACACTAATTTATAGTACCAGTGACCAGAGCATAAATACCCCAGTTTCACCCATTTTAGGTTTATCATTCAGAAAATTTTTGCTAGCTTGATAGAAGGTATCTCATTTTCTTTAATTTGCGCATGTTTGATTTCCAGGAAGGAAAACATTTCTCTCTGGGTTTGCGTTTCCTCTCACAAGAAGTGCCTACTTTGTTTTTGTCACTCAAATGTCTCTTAATATAGCCATGGCCCCTTGCCTTGCCATTTTTTAATTCTGCTTCCCTGTCTATTGTTTTTGCCCTTTGTTTCTGGCTTTACTGTTTTTTTTTTTCCCCTTGTAAAGAAATTAAACTTTTCACATTTTAAAACCTGCAGTTGTTTCCTTTTTGCAGTTTCTGTGCCTCAGAGTTCTGTGAGGCTTCCTCCTTCCCTGGCTCCTGTGGTCCTTGTAGTGTGATGGGTCCCAGATCTCTTTGTAGGTTATCTTCATCAGTATCGCCAGCAGTTCCATCCTCAGTTGTGTGTGTGTGTGTGTGTGTGTAGTGTGTTTTTAAATTGATAAGCACTCGACTAATAGTTCTTATTCTTTGCATTTCCGTCTGTACCCATGAAATGATAGTCTTCTCTCCCTTGATGAAATAATTCATGGTCTTTTTATTTCTTGCAGCCAACTTGATTGAGTTATAATGTCCATATAATAAAATGCTCCCATATAAAGTATATAAAGTGAATTTTGAATTTGCACACCCATGTACCCACAACCATAGTCAAACTAAAGGACAGTTATATACCCTAAAAGTTTCTTGCCCCTCTTCGTAGACACTCCCAGCCACCACCCCAGCCCTGGGAAACCACAGATCTGCCTTGAGTCACTAGAGTGTAGACTTGTCTTTTCTAGAATTTCCTGTAAATGAAATCATACAGGATCTGATTCGCAAGATGCCTGGCTTCAGTTTAGATACTTGCTGTAGGTGCCTGTTGATTTTAATTTTCCCCAAATAAGCATTACGTTACCTTTCATTTTGTATCCAGAGACTAAAATAAGACCTCAGAAATCCTTTGGAGAAATGGAAAGCAGAGATGTGATGACCACCTAGGGGAGACAGATGCAGATCCATTCAGATGCTCCGTGGTCCTCTCTCATAAAAGGAGCAGAAGCCTCTCCTATCTGTACAGCCCCTGATGGGGAGTTTCATTCCTCCTACTGGAGTCCCTGCTGCGTTTAACCATGAGGACAAGTCCCCAGAGTTTACATGGAAAAAATCTCAGGACATGTCCCTCCCCATTCTTTACGTGTAAGGAAATGATAAATGTTCCATTACATTTCGATACATGTAGAAACAGTATTTCTTTGTCACCATCATTACTGTGACTCTGAGGTCATTCTTCTGCGGCATGAGGAGGAGTCTTGTACATAAGGCAGGTATTTATTATTACATTGATTGGGTTCTCGCTCAGTATTCTGCAGTTCTTTCTTAATATTCCGCTCTTTTGTGTACCTGTGTGAGGTCTTTGTCACTCAGAAGTGAGTGGGCACGCATCTGTTTCTTGCATTCTTGCCTTTAGAGTAATTCTTTATAACTGTATTGAGTAATGAGCATTTTTCATTTCCTTTAGTATGAAAAAAAATTAAAAATCAAGTACTTATTTTCTTCCAGACGGCGATGGAGGTAATGCAGTTTAGCAAGGAGGAGGTCCGGGAAGTTCTGCGGTTGCTTGCTGGTATATTACACCTTGGGAACATAGAATTCATCACTGCCGGTGGGGCTCAAGTTTCCTTCAAAACGGGTGAGATTACGCCTCCCTCCCTCCTTTACTTCCTTGGCTTTTGCCTCCTAGGATCTAAATGTTTGCCTCCTAGATCTAAAATGTTTATTGTCTGGCCTTTAACAGGAGAATTTTTTGACCCCTGGAATAACAGCTCCAGAACTCTGTATCTGATGTGAACTGTCAGCTCGTGAAGGGTCAGAGCATCATGACAAGTGATTACTGAGTGGGATGGGGGCTGTGTCTTCATTTTCACTGAGAAGGAAAATGGGCCGAATAAGAGGAGATAACGAGTGATGAGAATTGGAGGATAAACATTGAGAGTCAGATGTGTAGTGCTGCCATAGTCATTCATGGTTAGTGAATGCCAGCGTAGGGGAAGGGTTAAGTCTGTTAGCTTCCAAGCTAGATTAATTGGTTTGTAGCCTGTCTCTGCCACAAGCTGTCTCCTTGGGTTACAGCTCACCTCTCAACACGAGTGACTTCTCATCTGTAGAGTGCCCCAGAGATGGATCGTCAAGGTTGAGTTAATATCCACAGAACAGTGTCAGTTGTCATTTTCCTGGAGTGATTTATTTTTTAAGTGTTTCTGATGGAAGCAATGGATGAGGGTGTGGAGGCTGGGAACTGGATGAGCTGAAGGTCAGGGTGGCCCTCGAGGAGCCTGGGGCTGACACCAGAAGTTCTGGGACATTTGGCCATAGCGCCTCTGAATCTTAAGATCACAGAGCTTTTGTTCCTGTGGGTCATATCTGTTGATGGTTACTGCAGTAGACATTAAAACTGAGGTAGTTAAAAAAAACAAATTCACTTTAAAATAATCATAATAAACCCATTGCCTATATTAAAATGTCATTATTTATTTAAAAGACTGTCTTTCAAAACATAATCAAAAAATCAGTGAGAAGAGTGACATTGTCTTTCATTTTTGTGAATTTTTAAAATGTCTGCTGTAACTGAGCAGCTGGGTTCTGCTGCTTCTGCCTTCGATGTGTTGAGCTACCTCACATCATATAGCCCATGGGAAACTTCAGTATATGGTGAGGGAATGAGAGTCAAAATGCAGATAGCATCTTAGTCTTACTATTGAAAGTAGTTATGACTCTGCAGACTTCTGACAGGGTCCTGGGGACCCTGCTTTGGGGTCTCTGGACCGTATTTGGTCCCAGCACCAGATTCTCTAAGACTCGTTAGGGGAGTGAATAACCTACCAGTAGAGAATATGTCCTGGAAATCCTGCCTGCAGGACTTCGGAATTTCCTCTGCTTGACCATGTCGCTATGTGAAGTTGGCTTTGCACCCGTTCGGGGTCCCACGGCTGTGTGTTCACTTCAGCTTTGTCCTTCCTTCCCAGCCTTGGGCAGGTCTGCAGAGTTACTTGGGCTGGACCCGGCACAGCTCACGGATGCCTTGACCCAGAGATCTATGTTCCTCCGCGGGGAGGAGATCCTGACGCCTCTCAACGTTCAGCAGGTGCGCACGTGTGTGGCCCTCAGAGTGACTATTAAAAACACTCCTGAATCTGCCGATCTGGGGCTTTGATTCAATAAGTAACTACAGTGAACCATTCGGATGAGTGGTTCATGGTGAAAATAAAGAAGACATGCACATTGAGGGGAACAGACAGAGCTGTTCTGTGGTCTTCTTAGGGACGATGGAGCAGAGTCTGTAAGAGGATTGGATCTGATGGAGATTCCCCTGAGTCTGAGTCCTGACCCTTCCACTTACTGTATGCATATTTCTTGGGAAATTTATTTACTGTATCTCAGTTTCCTCCTCTGTAAGAGAAGGATAATTAGCATGCCTAATTCATTGGATTCTTATAAGGATGATGATAAAAAGAATGGGCGTTCTTGCTCTCCCATCTTTAAAATAAGGTGCTTTCATTTTGCACTCTAACTGAAGAGTTACTTACTTTTATTACCCAATTACAATTTCGGAAAAAAAATGTACTAAGTACTTAATGATGGATGCAGAGTAAGGATTAAATAAGAATTAGCTATTTGGTAATTATTCTGAATGAAAGCAACGCTACAGTGTGTTGTTTTTCTTATTTTTGCCTCTACTGCTGCCTTGAGCCGGTTATATGTGCTAGCCCATCTAGTGTTTCTTGGCTGGATAAGTAAAATTGCTAACCATACCCTGAAGAAAACTTCCATGTGTACAAAGTAGTCTATGAGAGGAAGATAAGGAGCAGGGTCAGGTCTTAATTACTGTTTTCAACCTGATAGAATTTGTAGCTGTGTATAGTGGTTCAGATTCTTTCTTGTAACTCAAGATGTAAAGCTGAATTTGAAAGCCTGACACTTAGAGGGACTCTTGGTGAACCCTGCTGAGAGGTCAGTAAGCAAGCTCCAGGTCACCCTTTCTTGAGACAGCTGGGTTTTCCTGGATGGCGTTGATTGACTGAACATCGGGCGCGCGGCTGTCAAGCAGGCGTGTCTTCCGGGCGGGCGGGGCAGGGCTGGGCTTCCCGCCTGGGCTGAGAGTGGCCATCTGGGAGCCGTGACCTGGGGTCCACTCCCCGCAGGCGGTGGACAGCAGAGACTCCTTGGCCATGGCTCTTTACGCCCGCTGCTTCGAGTGGGTGATCAAGAAGATCAACAGTAGGATCAAGGGCAAGGATGACTTCAAGTCTATCGGCATCCTCGACATCTTCGGATTCGAAAACTTTGAGGTATGCTTCTGAAGAGTGGGGGAATCTTAAACAAATCTCTTTAAATAAATATTGATATTTTTCTCTGCAGATTTTTTGACGCCTTTTCTTGACCTTTAGATGAAATAATGAGGGTACTAACGATATTTGTTGGATGGTTTCCCCACTTAGGTTAATCACTTTGAGCAGTTCAATATAAACTATGCAAATGAGAAACTTCAGGAATATTTCAACAAGCATATTTTTTCTTTAGAACAACTGGAATATAACAGGTAAGTACTTACCGAATTGCATTTCCAAAAATTTTTTAGAGGGGTGGGTATAGCTCAGTGGTAGGGAGCATGTTAGCATGCACGAGGTTTTGGGTTCAATCCCCAGCACCTCCATTAAAAAAATTAATTTTTTTTAACCAACCACTAAATTGGATAATTTTAAAGCTATATTTTACTGCAATTTGGCCTTTTTTAAATCTTTCTACAGAGAAGGCTTAGTGTGGGAAGATATTGACTGGATTGACAATGGAGAATGCCTGGACTTGATTGAGAAGGTAATACACTGTTGGAGAATTGTTAACAGTCCCAGGGGTGTCCAGCTGGGCTGATTCATGTTTATGGGAACAAAATAGCTTGTACGAACACGCACATCAAAGATGTGAATGTTTAGAACACAATGGACCATTTGGAAACATAAATGTGAATGTGCAAGGATGAATTTAAATACTTGGCTGCTTCAAACCCCATTGTCTCATTGAAGCCAGTATTTTAAGAGTCAATGGTGGCTTCGCGTAGCATCAAGAGCTTTGCAGTACCAAGAATAGATTGGCCAGTTGTAAAACTTTTGTCCACCAGGTTGCAGTGTGTTCAGTTTTTTTAATATGGAATTAATTGAATTCTTTTATGGTGTATCACTATGAATTTTTCAATCCAAGAAATTCTTTGATAGATAGTAGAAAGGAAAGGAGTTGTGAAATTATTTAGAGGCAGACATTCAACGTTTAATTCACATTTAACCTTTTTCCTCTCTTCCAGAAACTTGGTCTCCTAGCTCTTATCAATGAAGAAAGCCATTTTCCTCAAGCCACGGACGGCACCTTATTGGAGAAGTTACACACCCAACATGCTGTATGTCAAAACCTGCCCTTTCCTCATGGTGTCTGAGCGGCAGATCTGCGGTCTAAGATGATGTGCACTTATTTCAGTGCTTCTGGCCCCACTCTGCCTCCCACATTGAATTTTTTTCCTCAGACGAAAGCGCTTCACCAATTGATAGAGCTAAATTCAAATGAGCCAAAGGCATAGATTTGGGGCCACTTCTCAGAATATGCCCAAGTTTAGTTTGAGTATAAAATTTGACATTTTTAGCCTAGTGTACTGACAACAGACCAGAGTTACATGGTCTTGATGAAGTGCATCGCAGGATGTGTCCTCAACCTCTGAAACTCAGCAGGTTTTGAAATTGTTTTCACTGTCAGTGATAGTTAATTTTCTCTGGAAATCAATGGAAATCATCTGTGAGTGAAATTAGGCATTTGTATTTGTTGGGGTTTTTTTTGCTATTGTTGTTCATTTTGTTGGGGGGGCAGATAATTAGGTTTTTATTTAATTACTTATTTTTAATGGAGGTACTGGGGATTGAACCCCCTTGTGCATACTAGACATGAACTCTACAGCTAAGCTGTATCCTCCCCTGTATTTGTTTTTTATTAGAATAACCACTTTTACGTGAAGCCCAGAGTTGCAGTCAACAATTTTGGAGTGAAACACTACGCTGGAGAGGTAACTTCGTAATCAAGATCCTTGCTAATATTTGCCCATTTGATATTTAGAGAAATAGTAATTTCAGAAGTCAATCATAAAAATGCTGAACTAATGCCTTTTCATGGTCCTGCCTTTTAAAGGAGTTGCTCATTGTCTGAAATGTTTTTTTTTTTTTTATCAGTTCTGCCTTCTCTCATTTATTTTCCAAAACCAGGTTCAGTATGATGTGCGGGGCATCTTGGAGAAGAACAGAGATACCTTCAGGGATGATCTTCTCAACTTGCTGAGAGAGAGCCGGTACGTCAGTCTCCTCCTGGAGATGTCAAACTAATATTTGTGCAAATGCTTTTAATTCACGAATGTAGGAAAAAAATTAATATGGAAGCAGCTGGGTTCATTATCTTCTTCCTCAGGCAATATTTCATCAATAAAATGACCTGAGAGATAAAAGCTGATACTAGTGGTAGTGACTACTATTTTATGAGGAACGGCAAATCCATGAGTTAAATACTTGTATTAATCCCATTACACAGGTGAGAAAATGAAGACTTAGAGCAGTTAAGTGACTTGGCCAAGATCCCTCAGCTAGTTTTGATCTGGTCTGTTTGACTCAAGAACCTGAGATCTTAACCAGTATCACCTACTTTCTTCAGTGCAAGCTTAGAGCTAGGTTTCAAACTGATCTCAGTCTTGGGTTTGTAGCACCCATGTGTCTGTAGTGTTTGTGAGAGCTGTTGAGGGAGTTAAACAAGTACTGATTCAGCTAAAATTATAAATTACACGTTTATTTGTTCGTGAATTGAAAATCCACACTATTAAATGGATAATTAGGGAAAGCATGCAGAAACTTACAATGATTAGTTTAGCTATTTGTATGTTTTAAACCAGGAGGCTTTTTAGTTTTAGGAAGTTTTGTGAGCAAGAAAGAGGGGGAAACAGTCCTCGCCTTACAGTTTTCAATACTTGTTTCAGATCCAGCATGAATCGATCACAAATTTTTAATAGTTATTAAAAAACTGTAATACTTTCAGAAATGGAAGTACCAGGTGGCCACCCTGTCACTTGGAGAGCTGTGACCTGGGGCAAAGGGAACCCATCTGAAGTTTCAGCTTAGAACCATGGACTGGGCATGCTCCATCTTCCAGCTTGTCTTAAATAACTCTCCTACCTGAGAATTCCCTATTTACAACTTTGTCAGCTACGTTTATTCTTCAGATGAGTTTTCAGACCTGTTAAGATGGCGCTGTTTTTAAAACACCACATGTTATTCTCAAAGCAGATGAAAGTGGTACATTTAAGTCAAACCGGTGTCTTGAGGTTGAATGGAAGCATTTTGCTGTCGTGAAGACAGCCTGGAGACCAGTGAGATAGCGTTACACCGGCTGCCTCGGTCATCATGTCCGTTGGTTGTGAAACTGAGGTGAAGAACATTGTTCACAACATCCCCAGGTTTCTCTTTGCAGACAGAGAGGCTTGGGCTGTTCCCTGGCCCTGCTCCCTTCCCCCTTTGACGTCTGTGACAGTTTAAGTGGAACCACAGCTTTTCTCCCAAGTGCTCAGAGTGCAGAGAACATCAAAGAGGGAGAAGGAAAATGAGAACGGGCCGGGCGGGATGAGAGGTGACGGGAGGCATCGCCGCCTGGAGGATGGGCATGCCAGGCGGTCTCCCTGCCTTTCCTGGCCCCAGCAAAGCCACCACAGTCCCTGTGTTATAGCCCATAGCATCTTCTATGCAGAGAAGACTGAAAGACGTTCTTGAGAAGCCTTTTATTCTGTTAGCAGTGGCAATAGGTTTTACAGAACTTTTTAATAATAAGAGCAAGTAACATCAGCATGTGGGAGGTACGGGGCATCACGCTCAGCCTTTTGCCTGCATTTCTTCATTTCCTTCTCCCCCTAGGATTACGGGATAAATCCTAAAATTGCCCCCATTTTCCAGATGAAAAACAGGACTAGAGGGTCAAGCATCCTAAGTTCCACAACTGGGACATGGAGGAGGCGGAATTTGGGCCTGATTGGCCTCGCTCTACAGTTAGCACCTTTCCATCTGTTACCTGGTGGGATCCTGGCGACACTGAGATGCACAAGACAGACACCCGCCTTCTACAGGCGAGAAGCCGAGGCTGCAGAAGCTCCGGGAAGCCCAGCGGTCCTAGTGGCTTGTCACCTGGGGTCGCCTTTCTCCCGGTCCTCTTCTTTCTGCAACTCTAGTGCCCCGAAGGCCGTCCCATCTGTTTTCTGTGCCCAAAGCCCGTTGGCAGTGGTTGGTTTGAAATCTTTGGAAGCTGTCTTAGCTCTTCCAGGCCTGGTGTATTGTTTTCAGTGGGGAAATGCGTTGCAATTGCAGTAATCCTGCACCTGATAATTGGGTGTGTGCCTCTCATGGTCCCTCTCCTCTCTGCTCACTCACACAGATTTGACTTCATCTACGACCTATTTGAACATGTTTCAAGCCGCAATAACCAGGATACCTTGAAATGTGGAAGCAAACATCGACGGCCCACAGTCAGCTCACAGTTCAAGGTGAGTCTGCGCTGCTGGCCTGGAGGAATCAATCTTTGTTGTGATTTTAAGAATTGAAAATAGAAATTGGGTTTATGTGAGGTCTATGGAGGTGTATATTTAATTTTTTTCCTCTCCTTTTAAATCAGACAGTGCTTTAGAAGGAAAATATACTTTTTATTTCTGAGACAGGTAAAAAGATGTACTTTTTTTTTTGTCTTGTTAGAAATACATAGCTACTTATTTTAAGCTTATAAAATGGTAATTCTCAAGAAGGACTGTTGGGTCATTTGGAATTGCTCTGATTTGTATTTAAAGACTTGTGAATATAAAGTATTTCTTCCAGTGTCTGAATTTTTAAAACTTTTCTCATGTATGTTTACAGTATCATAACCAAGTGCATGGTTAAATCAGATCAGTGTCAGTTACCTTGTCCGGATGTCCAAAATTCAGGGAAAATATGAGGACCATTCTTATTTGCATTTGAAATTTGTGAACATTTTAGAAAGTTTAGAGGTAGAGCATATGAAAATGACTTCACTAACTGACTTGTTCCGTTCTACCCCCAAATCCTAACATAATGGGCAATGGAGGAGTGTCAGTGGACACTTATTGATCTGCCCTCTGGGAGGCTCTCTTTCATTGAGTTACTCAATGTTGGCTGCATTGGAGGTGGGGCTTCTGTGTGAGGTCTGTTGGACTGGTTGGCGATGAACCAGCCCCACACCCCACCACTGCTGACCTGGTGGCTCGTGTGGTAGGAAGGGCAGCTTTGACCCAGACGGGGTATGATAACAGCTGCCATTTCCTATGCACTCACCATGAGCTAGTCACTGGGCTGATCACTTTATATACATTATCTCTTTCACTTCTCCCATAACCTTAGAAGTATATATTATTGTCCCCATTTTATACATGAGGAAGCTGAGGTTTAGAGAAATGCAGACTTGCTCAGTCCCTCTAAGGACTGGAGCTAGGATTTGAATTGAACCCAGGTCTGTCTGACTCTAAACCCTCGGCCCTTAATCATCCAGTAGAGGGTTGCGTTGTCTGTTTCTGGGTCAGTGTGGCCTGGAGTTGTCCTCGGAGGTTTTGTGGATGTTTGGGACTGGAAGTGGACCAGGAAGCAAGGAGATGGGAAAGTGGCAGGAGGCGGAGTCCTGAATCGGGAGCATGAGTCCTGTCCCTGAATAGACGGGGGCCGGCTGACGGGACACCTTGTATGAACTGAAATGGGTCCCAGAATATGAAGGGTCATGAATTCCAGGACATTTTGTCATCTGAGAGATCCTAAAGCTTCCTAAACAGAGAAGTAACTAATCAGTGTAGTACTGAAGACAACCTCATTTCTTCAGCAACAAAACTGTAAGAAGGAAAAAAGAGAAAGATGGAGATGGAGGGAAAACCAGGGAATTAAGAGAGACTTAAAAGTGGGGGGGGGGGTTAGCTAAGTGGTAGAGCACATGCTTAGCATTCACGAGGCCCTGGGTTCAATCCCCAGTACCTCCACTAAAAGTAAATAAATAAACCTAATTACCCACTCGCCCCCCAAAAAAACAAAAACAAGAGAGACTTAGAAGACATATCAACCCACTGCACTACCTAGACCTTACTTGCAATCTGATTTCAAAGAAGCAGCCATTGACAGATCGTGAAATTTGAGACGGTGGAGTATTTTAATAAGAAACGGGATAGTTGCACCTTTTCATGTTGATACTGAGAAATTCATGTTAAATCTTTTTAGGAAAGATATTGTGGTTACCTATGTGTGCTTTAAAGTCTTTAGACTTTGATAATACATACTGAAAAATTGAGGGATGAAGTAATACTACGTCTGGGATTTGCTTTTCTGCAAAAAGAGGGCGTGGTCTGTACAGGGACAGAGATCAGATGAAATGAGGTTAGCCGGGGGCTGATGCTGATGCTGGCTCCTCATTACATGCTCAGTCTGCTTTGGTAAATGTTAAAAATTCTTCACAATTAAAAACAAGTTAAAAAAAAAACAAATGAGACAGCAGTATGGTGGAAGATTAAGCTGCCTGGTGGTTTGAAGATGGTGAGTGAGAGATGGTGGCTCAAAAACCAGTGAAGTACTGGTATAAACTGTCATTTTGATGGAAATAATTAGGAAGAACAACAACTCTGGTGGGAGAATGGATGCTTCTCAGGTTTTCTGTACTAAACACTGAAATATCCCAGGGTGGTTGTTTTTTTTTTGCTGGTTAACAGAATAGTTTTGTTTTTTTAAGGGTACTGTGTCAAGGAATTAAGTGAGTTTTGTGTATGTGAAATAGCTTCTGTGACGATGATACCTTTAGTTTATATTAGAATGACAGGATTAAAAATAAAATCTCTATTATTCCTCAGATTTGTGTTGTTTTCTTTTTGCTTGTTTCTGATAAGTGCTTAGGGTGCCGAGAAATTTAAAGACATCATAAGAGACTAAATCAACATACACTTTTTCCTTTCTAATAGGACTCCCTTCATTCCTTGATGGCAACGCTAAGCTCCTCTAATCCTTTCTTTGTTCGCTGTATCAAGCCAAACATGCAGAAGGTAAGATGTACTGCAGTTCTAGACTCAGGCTGTGTCTTTGGGGACACTGTCTCCTGAGCTAGTTGCTCACAGATTTGGCTTCTCCAAAATCCTTGCATTATAGGTGGTTGGAAATGTATATGACATTATTATAGTGTAACATTCAGTGGGAAAGAATCCCTTTGTCTTTTGAGCCTACTTGTCTGATTTTGAATGACGCCATTCCATGTTAGAAAAATCTATTTTAAAAGGAAACATTGTGAAACCTTTGCTTTTTTTTTTTTTTTTTTTCTTTAAGTATTGGTTTGAAATCTTGGGCAGGCTCCAGAATGTGCTATCTACCTTTTTAGAAGAAATGGTTGGTGTGCTTTTTCTTGTGGTTGATTTTTTTTTCATTTTCTTTTCTTTTGCTTTATTGTTAAACATGACAAAGAGTCTGTATTTTAAGAGGTAATAATGGCTTTTAAGGACTTGGGTGAGCTGATGGTAACCAATTAGAAGGCTCCTGTCATCGCAAGTTCTTGTGTCTACGCTCTTGTTCTAGCTCTTGAATGCCGTATCCGGATCAGAAACAATGTGATTTTATATGTTTTATAATATTTATTCTTCTCAACAAAGAAAATGGAGTGTGAGATATAGGTAGCTGCTGAATCTAATGCTAAATGGGCAGCTTGTCTTGAAGTGCTGTTAATTTTAGTTTTTTTATCATGATTTGGCCAACATCTGCTCTCAGTAATCCCTATGAAGAGCAGAAAAGTCCCCACAAGGTAGGAATATCAAGAGCCCCTGGTGTGGAAGAACTGGAAGCCGTCCTCATAAGGATTCAGATAAAGGAACCTGACCTCATGTGATGTTTGGTGATGCTGCAGTCGAAACCTTTGCCGATGCTAGATCTTATTTTCGTTTTGCTCACCAATTCCCTTTGACTTTAATATTACAACGATTCCTCATTTGTAGTTTAAGGTGTTTATTTGTAAGAATCACAATTTTGAATTCTGTCTTCTTGGAAGGCAAAACTGCATTGAGTGGAGGATTTTCCGTTCAGTTGGTTGCCTTGCTCTGAGGTGTGCAGGTGAGAATTTGGCATATGGCTGAGACTACAGAAGATCTGTGATGACTTAATGTGCATCAGTTCTGTAGTTTCAATAGTAACTCATCTTTCCCTTTTTTCAGATTTCTAGTAAAATGTTTCAGGTTGTCACCAAAAAAGGCAACTTAACAATACATAGTTTTGTTTTGGTTTTTTTTTGACATAACGTAGGAAATTAACAGTTAAAACAATACCATGTCCCACATCAGCTGGTTTATATCCACCTGCCGTGCTTTATAAAACCACACTGGGCGGTATGGACAAGATAAATACATGGGCTCTGCAATTTGAGTCCCCACTCATAGGAGCTGCTTAATGTGCATGTTTTTCCCCAGTTGAAGGTCTTCGGCATTGAGATGCATCTTACAGCTTTTGGCAAACCACAGTTTAATTGGGAGCTTTTCCTCACTTCTTAGTGGTGTAATAATTGTGCAGTTTTACAGCCGTTGGCATCTTATATTCAATGAAATAGCGGGGGCGGGGGTGTCACCTGCCAAGCCAGAGCTTATTTATAAGGATAGAATTTTTAATTTTAAAAACTCAGTCCTCCGTGTGTATTTTTTCTTTCTTGGGTGACATTGAGTTTATTTTCCCTTTAAATTGCCGTCACTTTTGAAGTGAGGCCTATGTGAAAACACAGAACATTGAAGAAATTACCTCTTTTTGATGTTTATTTTTCCTTGCTGGGATTTGATTGTGCCTAATTGCTTTGGTGTTGGCATTTTAAAAAATGAGCCGACCCAACCTCAAGGTTCCATTTCTCTTGGCTCATAGCCCTTGCCACCTCCTGACCAGTGTCAGGCACTAATAACACCATGAGATGGGCCATAGAAGACTTTGAAAAAACATCTCGGTAGCCTTTAAAGACACCTGGCAAGTCAGACATGAGAACCAACTTGTCTGAGGCCTAAGATGTAGGTGTGACAGTAAGTGTGAAGGAGCTAATTAGGCTGTGGAAATAGAAAATTATGACTCACTTAGCATTCATTTGGTTCCACTGAAAACACTGGAGTGTTACTGGTGATAGTATAGGAAGTGTATGCAAACAACCCTCATTTGGAGTTCCTTACGAATTTTCTTTTGTCCAGAGATAGATACTTCTGGGAATTTCACAGGGAAGGTCTTGCTTGCCTTTGCCCAGGGATGGGGAAGGTGTATTTCCAGCCTGGAAGGGTGAGGCCATCTCCCCTTACTGCATACCTTTCCCATATCAGATGTTTATTATGGGAGCTTGAGAAGGTGCATTGAATACAAGTAGATGGAGGCATTTTGTGCATCATTCAGGAACATGGGTCGTGGATTTGGGCAGATTCTAGAGGTTTCTTTTGGCAGTTCTGTGCCCAGAAAGGAATCGGAACAATGGCTGTACAGTCTGTGGCCTGAACAACTAAGGCCTTAGAAAAAGCAGAGCAGCTGTTCGGTGCTTTTAGGAGCCTACGCGGCACATCCCGGGCTCCCATGGTGGCCCGGCGAGCGTGCCCACGCAGCCCTATGGGCCCCAGGCTTATGTAGCACAGGCTGACTCCTTTCCTTTGGCAAGTGTGTGAAGCTCAGGATAGGCACCTGGGCCCAAAGCATTTAGAAATCCTTTTGTGGGAATCTTACGGGGCTTTGTTATTTGGGATTTTTATGTTTTGAAAAGCTGGTGGATGTAACTGAAATGCTGAAACAGCTAGATCAGTTCAACTATAATCATATGTGGGTTTTTTTTTCCTTTTGTGAATGACTTGTAACTAATCTTGCGTGTTGCATAGAAGATATTTCATTAGCATTGCTGAGAAATCCTCCTGGCGCTGAGTTATGAAGGGAATAAAAGCATAGCTCTTGGAAGGGGCTAGTCTGAGCCAGCGCTTTGCCTCAGGTACCACGGAGGGATGTACTTCTCCCCTCAGCTTAGAGTTCTCGGTTTACAAAGGGCAGAATTCTCTATCAGACGTGCTGAGTTGGTGGTGTGGCCCCTTGGCTTCGTCCTAGTGTGATTTGCTCAGGCAGTGGTAGTTGCTGGCCAGGAGTGCCCAGACCAACCCCAGGAGATTCCTGTATCAAAGAAAACCTGCTTCACCTCATTAGAATTTCTCCCCAAGGGTGTCCCGTGGCCCGGATCCTTGCCTTCCCTCCCTGCCTGGTGTTTTAAATACGTTCTTGTCAGAAAAGTCGGTCATTAACATTCCTCAGAAAAACCCTGAGGGAGGTGCGGGACAGAATTAAAAAAGGAAACAGATGGTAAATATCAGGACACCCTTCCCTTCCCGGGTGTGAGAACTGGTTGTCTGTGGTCTCAGCCCCTAACGTGAGGCCAGGCCCACCTCCTACAGAAGCTGCAGGAAATGTATTTCCTACCTTGAATTTTTTGTCCTGTTTTGTTCTTCCTGAATCTTTTCCCGTCTCATTTTCTTCACCTTATTTTTCAGGAGCCTTACTGAACTTGATCCCAGTGACCCTTTACATTTCTCTTTAGGCTTTGGTTTCTCTACGCTGATCCCATTTTCTGAATAAAGTAATTCCACAAACATGGGTGACCTTGACCTTGGCCAAGTACAACCTTGATGGGCCTGCCTCTTCCATCTTTGCGCCCTGCTGCGTAGCTCAGCGTCCAGGCTGTCCCATGTGCTCAGTAAATGTCAAATTGAACTGCTCATCAAGGAACACTGTGATGTTTATGGTGTGTGCGTGCTTGACTTTGCCAAAAATGGAGACTTAAGTGCTGTCTTTAATTCTGCTACAGGTTCCATCCTAGTTGGTTTGTTTTACTTTTGGCCTGTTTTTCGCTTCTGGATCACCTTCAGTTTGCCTAGTTGGAGAAGTTACCCTCGGGATACACCAATAGGTCAATATTAGGATGATGTCCTTACTATGATCCAGTCTTTCTGTGTTGATGCGTTACTTCTCTTGGTCTCCCTCTCCCAGCTGACCCCCTCAGACACGGCCCCCGTAGGGTTCAGAGCCCTTTGGGCACAGCCAAGCACAGCACCAGAGGCTTGTTCATAAACAATGCGAGTCTGGCAAGGCGCTTCATACTCCAACACTCAGACCTCTAAATGGGGTCCCCCTAAGGTGTGTGTTCCCTGCCATGACTGGGCAAGGAGGTTTGGATGTGCAAATCCACCAGATAGCAAGGGTTTAAACTGAAAGGCTGAAAAACTGGATTTTAGCATTTCAATTGAACTTTTTTGGAATTACACATCATTGGGTCCAGACGTCTATTTTGTTGAATCGATGACTTCTCTGGTTGTAAAGACACCGTTATTTATGTATCACTGTGAAGCAGCACTGCCTGCTTAGCCAGAACACCATGCTGTCCTGTCACCAGGCGCTTGCTTTTTGCTTTGCAAGAGGTATGAAATGGTTGTCATTCTTCCACCACAAGTACTTGCTTCACTGATAACTCAGTGACACCTTGGCACTCTGCTTCCAGGTCTTTCTGCGGGTGAAATGACTTTCTGTTCCACTGACAAATCTAGAGAGAAGCAGTTAG